CCATTCCTTTGTTACGTATTCTTTCTCAGGATGAAATATTCTCCTCAGTATGAAGATTTTTGTCCCAGACAATGAAGTTATTCAATACAGAATACCACCCTATGTTATGGAAGTAAAATAATGACCACCATTTTGACACCTACCCTGGTCACTTCAATCTAAAACACATTAACAAAACGTATTTCCTTAAGAAAAATTCCAATATTTTCCTTGCTACCGGGTTTCTTAGCCAGAATTCTACACGCGTTTCTTGTTTCTCCCTGCCGGTTCAAGTCACGTGGAGTGATTTCGCCTTGGGGCCACTAAAGCGAAGACAATGGGCGGCTAATAAAATGGCTACCGGCAGACTTGAACCCGACCCGCGGAACGGAGGTTGAGGGGCGGCGTCACACGGAACTGAGGTGACGTCCACTGTAGCAGCAGAGCTTCACATCCCGCGGGAGGACTTCGCCCGCACAACCCCCGGGCCGCTTTAATTAACCCGCGACTATTAACCAGGCTTCTGTTGCGAACAAAAGACGAATAGCTGCCCGGGCCCTGAGCCATCAGCCGCGCCATTCATCAGGGAATGTCAACCTGTGGCCCGCAACGCAACATCAATCAGGCTCTGCCCAAGCAGTTTAATTAGCTACCGGCGGCAGAACGCGGATCTTCAGCTTCCTACTTCACAGGGCGGCGGCCGTATGAACGACATTCAACAGCTCGCGTGAGAAGAATAAACAAAGCGATCATCGACAAGACCTTGACAGAGATGGAAACGTATCCGAGACTTGAGATATCACGAGGGGTGAAGATGTTGGTTGTGGTCCTAATTCCCACGCCCTTACAGAAGTATAAGAACTACATTACGTAAAACAGTTCTGTTAAGCGTTATTTGGAACCTTTCTTAACACTGTGAGGATGACACCTGTCAGCCGAGGGGAACAACGCTGAGTTACTTTCCGAGCTGCTATTTTAGTCTAGAGATTAAACTGGCACCGCTTTGGACATGGATGGATTTCAACGTTTTATCTGCGTAGATACAGACCTCACTATGGCCTAATGTCGCGCCGGAGAACTCTCATGAAATATCCCGAGGATTCATTAGTTCATAACTGGAAAATAGCAAAAAGAGAAAACAGCAAACAACTCAAAAAGAGGAACAGACTGTACCGTAGCGAAACGTCGAGTCTATTTCCCGTAAAATCGGTATGATCGCCTTGACATTTAAGGACGTCTTCCGGCCACAGATTCTAATCCACTGCCTTCGAAACACCAATGAATGCTGAAGTCCTGGCTCCTGAAAGTTTTGACGCGCGAATTTCATTACGATGGCTGATACTGGTAGCAGGTTTATTGGTAAAGAAACATGGCGATGGCGCGAAGCCAGTTACAGGAACAGTGCCTGTACTGTAATTGATTGGCGTGTATCCAATGCAGTCCGCGCATAATTAATTAGATTAACGCCGCGCCACTTTGAGTGAAGGGGGCGACACTTGTTCTTGCTGTTTCAGTGTTAAAACATGCAGCCTCTCAGTTCGAGCCTTGTCTGTTCCATACAACACAACACTACTGTAATCCGAGAATCTACGGAACAATGCTCGTATTGAGAATCTGATTTTCACTCAGTTGGTGAAGAAATTCTCTGTCGTCAACGTAACCCGAAGATTCATTACCTGCACACAGCCAGATGAATCCAACACAAAATTTATGTGTTTGAGACCTTCTCTGCAGGTTTTCGAGCTAAAATTTTGTATGCATTTCTTACATAGGCAATGCAATTCTGTACCTTTGTTCTGGAAGACTCAGTGCATTTCATTAATGTCTAGGGAAACATCGGTGTTTATTTCGAGAACCGAGCGAAACGCATGGGGCTAAGTCCCGAGTTACTGAGCGTCACAATAGCTGGTACACATAGTTACCACTGCGCAGAAAAAATAGACTAATTACAATTCATAAAATACACTCATTCCTCCGGTACGTTACAAATCGGGATTTTCTTGTTACTTGTCATATTTATTTACGACACAGCATCAACTACTTTCCATACAGAGTGCCCATAAGACGTAGGATGACTTAATGACAGAAGAGTTTTAAATTGTGTTGGCCATTTAAGATACTTTGAAGACTGAGGAAAACCGTGAAAATACCTGAGACGCGAACTGGAAGTTTCCATTGTAGGAAGACGCAAAAGTGCGTGAGACAGAAAGTCACGGAAACAAAGCGAAATGTCGTACTCGGAAGGGCTAGAAGACAAGACTTCCGTGCCCTTGGCGAAGACGCCATGAGGCGTGTATGAGCGTGGAGATAAAGTTCCACACATTCCAGACCTTGGCCACAGATGGACATGGCCAGTTTCACTTTCAAGTTACTTCACTTCCAGTGCACACTGGAGACGGTCCGAGTACAGCGCTGTCGAAGAGAAATGCCACTGATTACCGACGTATTAAGGGATGACCCAATCACGGTCTAATTTTTCTTAGGACGGCTTTTGTTATGCTAATTAAATATGTATATTTTAACTACCATAAAGATAATAAGCATGAGCAAAGCTAGTCTAAGTTAAGTTAGAATGTTCTTTCGGCGCGATAAACTATTTGTGTGGGTCATCCTTTGATATCCAAGTTTCCAAGAATTCTTACTTCTGATGGGAACCAAATTCACGGTAAATAAGTTTTATTTTTATTTACGTGGGGTTTATTTCACGACTCAGACTAGCCTATACAGCGTCGAATCCTAGGACAATCGAACTCGGGACTTCACCAAATACGAATCAGGAGGGACACCTACCCGGACCCTCCCTTCGGTGTGAACAGTTCACGGGCAGTGACTTTACCAAGGCAGCAAACGGCTTTTCTGACAAAATGTGTAAAAGATAATGTTTTGTGCTGGACCAACACAGCAGCCTTCATTATCCCACTAATAAGTTGGACTCCATCTCGCATGCTTTCGTGCTATAATCAAATCCAAACGTCTGTCGCCCCCCGCCGAGCTGATTTAGACGAGAGAGTATGTGATTGGCGCTACGACAGGTAGCCCCATTGTTGCACGGACCCACAAAAGTTTTCAATTATTGGAGACAATGCGGCCGCTGGAGGCAATCTCGTAGCAGCGCTCAATTAATGTTTTGTAACCAATAAAAACCTGAATGGAAGATGTTTTAACAGAAGCAGTACGCGCATTCCAGGTCCTATTGTGGCTCCAGTCGTTTGATTCCAACACAACAATGAGCGAACAGTGGTAGCAGGATTCTGAACGCACCTGGTGGTCTGGTAGGCTCCACTGCAGAAGTGGCCACCAGAAGAAATATCGGACTGAACCCAACGCCGAACCGACTATGGTATCAGAATTCTGACCCCAACTCCACATCTGAAGTGACCAACTACAGAAAATTCTGACCCAGCTCCACATCTGAAGTGACCAACTACAGATTTCTACAACTAAACGTAACAATAAAATGAAAAGTAACTCCAACATTCTGCTAACAATTATTGGTTTAGCGGAGCTGTTGGATGTAGAATAAGGAGTCTCACTGCAATTAAAATGTGAACGTAAATGCTATTTGCAGCTTGATACAATCGGTGGCCAACTTATTTCTTGCAGTGAAAACCCGCTAACTTATGCTTCCTGCTAATATACATAGTTTCTTATGTGCGTATTCTGCAGTATAAGCGAACAGTCTCGCAATTGGGTATTCTGCATTATAGTTAGTGCAAGGTGTAATGTGGATTCGTATTTAAACGCCACAAAAGGAAAATACTCGATTCACACAATCCATCAGCATTTGTCGCGGGATTCGTCCGTTAATCAAACCACTCGATATGTTGTGGGTTGGGAGATTAAACCTTATTAACCCTTTTCATGACGAGTTTTGGTAAAATAAAGTTTTTCTCTCTGTATATATTTCCATGATAACGTGCAAGTCTTATTGTTGAAAAGCCACGAATGGTTAGATTTAACTGTAGACTGGCGCTGGGACGCATTCCTTTCACTGATCTTGTCAAAGAACAAATCCAGACGATAAAGCCGTGTTTCTTGGCGAGATATCTCGTGCGTAAAATGGAAACGGTTAAACCATGCCATTTTAAATAGCGGCATTGTACGCTGTATGACTAATTTCGAAAACAATGTATATTAATAATAATTCTTCCCATGGTTTTCAATTATTAAGAGTCATGCTCTCTCTCTCTCTCTCTCTATAAATGAGGTAAAGAGATTCTCAATGTTTTCCTCGCACGTATCTTTCAGTTTAAAAAAGTTAATTATATCAAAATTAATACAGATTCATTTTTAATCCAAAAACGAAGAAAAATCTGTTTAAAGCCGTCCCTAGAGCCTTGGTCTTAACAACCAGTACAGATGTGACCCTCTTGTTTGCTGTTACGAACGGAATAAAGGCTTACAGAAGCAGAGAGAACAACAATTTCTCAGAACACACGCACAAATCGAAAATGAATGCCCCTTATTAACTGAAATCGAACGAAAAATGGCGAATACTTGCGTTCAGGCAAGAAACGTGTACAAATTTCATTGGATCTCTTGTCAAGACGATTATAACAACTGAGTAGGTAATACTTTGGAAGAACAGAAAGTATACAATATCCGAGACGCAGGTCTACACTACTGATTGGGTTCAGGTGGCTCTATACACCTCTTCCTTTCTCACGTGGTCGCACCAGATGCTCCCCGCCATCAATCAAGCGAAACTCTCATTAACCTGCGGTCTAATAGCCTCTTTGTGAGCCGTAAACAGTTGACAATAGGGCGCCGTGTCATTTGTAAAGCAGCCCTGAAAACTTGTTTTAATTTGACACGCTTTATTATCGATTATAACGCGAAATGAAGGTCGACAATCGAACATTCTTCACGGATTAGAAACCCGATACGTGGTGCATGCACCTACACCCTGCAACATAAAACACTGAAACACAAACGGCTGTGAGGGGAAACAGAGACGAAGAAGTTCAAGTTTAAGGAGCGGAGCGGGAATACGAGTTGGGGTGCGATCAGAAACACAAAGCTTTATGGCTCAAGCCACTTTATTGATTTCACAACTTCCCTTTGCGTCTCTTTTTGCGGACAGACTCCAGTCCGCTGGAGAACTCTGACGTCACCAAATGTGTCGCCGTTGAGTACCCCTGTTCGAGCCCAGAGTTGGATCTCTTTTTATCGCGTGGCGTCCTAGCTCTGAAACAAAGCACAACAGAACTCAGAATGTGGGTCCGACGTCGATTCCACAGCACGGCAAACATGGGGCCGGACTCCGAAAATTACGAAAGTAATTTAATAACAAACACCGCGGTGATCCAGTGCAGAATACAACGATGAAGGAGTTCGTACAATACGAGAAGACGCGCGTGTCTGTAAGCGGGAAGGAAGAGCCGAGAGAAACGAATGAAGAATGTCGAGAAACTGAGACAGACGTCGATGTAGATCTTCCGGGCTGTAACGCCGTCTGGACTTCTAGGTAGACACCAGTGTTTCTGACGAAACAAACTGCAATTCACCCCTGACGATGCAGGCAGTACAGCCTACAAGATCAATATCGACAAAGGAAAGTAGGATTATAAGAGAACGAGGTTCTCACGACGGTGAAGACGTCCAGGGTGGGTTGCGACGCCGTGGACCAGAATCACAAGAAATACAGATACACTGACAGGCAGGAAGATAAAACGGAAAGGAACGAACGAACGAAGGAAAATAAGAAATGCAGAAATACAGAGAGACAGAATGAAACCTGACAGCCAGCCAGGCACTGCTCCTGCAGTGGGTGACCCCAGCGCGGGGCACTGGTTATTAACGTCACATTGTTACATGACGGGGTGCCGCGGGCTCTCCTTTTAGCTCCCGTAATGAAACAAAAGATCGGTAAAGAAATATTAATCTCTGAGACGGGCCTCAGTGGCGTGCAGTGCACAACAAACAGTGGCGTCTAGTTACCGAATTTCATCACAAATACTGGCAGTCGGACGTGATTGAAATCTTCGTCAGCAAGATTTGTTGTAAATCTGGATCAAAATGTGTCTAAAGAACAATAATAAGGGCACTCGGAAAGGATGTTTCCTCGCTAAAATGACGCAGCTGACCGATCACAAGAGCCGAATGTGAGATTTCAGGTTCTGACGACGACGACGAGCATGATGATGGTTGTCTTCTGGGATGTTGCGCCGCGTAGTCCGGTAGAAACTGGCCGACGTTTCAGACGTACCAGACTACACTTGGCAGCATCCCAGAAGACAACCATCTTCATGAACGCCGAGTGTTTACTGCCGACTTTGGTGAGGCCTACAGTTTTAGGAAGTCATGATGCAGAATATCGGGAAGTTCTTGGTGAGCCTACACTACCACATGGTACACCGGCGGCGGTAAACTACGCCTTATAGGCCCACTCCTAATTTCTACTGAAATCGTAGTCATTCTTTACGATTCTTTCTTCTGACCAGGCACTTGTCCGTGCTTCTAGAAGACAGCGCACAAGGTCTGCCCCAGACCATAGTGCAATGCGGTAAGCCAACACTCACCACAGAATGAGGTTGTTTTTAAACAGAACAGCTGTGCGACATTCCCGAAAGAACGGGAAATTGAGAGAATAAGAGTGGCAGGCCTGTGAGCTCGCCACAGTAAATCTAATTTCTCTGGGAAAAGGGTGGGGCGCTGCGTGCGTTACTAAACAAACAATAGAGAATCGTAGGGCGTACAGAAGTCCCAGGGACTAAATTTCATCAGCTACCGTCTCCCTTTTCCTCATCTAATTTTCCAAACCAGTTTTATTTCCAAGGGAAATCTCCATTTATAGTCGCGTACATGTTTCTGCCCTTACTTACCAGAGCGCATCCCACTCAAATGTCGCGTCGATAACCCGCGGGCAGTAATTAAATGTACGAAGAAATTAGCAGTGCAATATACATTTTATTGGACACGCTTTTGGGGGGGACGGCGATGTAGGGCTCACTTTACTATAACCGATTATGCCGTGGCTAGAAAACACGTGATTATTCCATACCAAAGTTCAAAATTAACAAGACTGAAAAATGTGTACTCATTGGAGTACACTAAAATTCCAAAGGCGTTCTTTGTGCCACACCACGGATGATGTTGGCAGGGAGACGATGGGAATATCAAATGCAACAACGGTTTCGAAAGAATTAATGACATCCAAGGTCACTGTCGGAAGAATTCGATCAAAGGTCATTCTTTTAACAGTGTAATCCAGGATCACTTTCAACGCGATTGACAGGAGGGCCCATCAGGTGTTCTTCGCTTACGCTAAAGCGTAAGAAACACGTAGAAACGGGCAACGAACACGGGTCCGAAGGTTCTGAAGTGCAAAATGCAAGATCCTTCCTGGGGAAGCACTTTGTTATAACACAAGCTTCATGATTCGTCATTAAATATTTCTACAACCCCAGTCTGCTGTTTAAAGACAAATGACGACGGAGGTCAAAACATCAGCCCAGATGCTCCAATACGAGACGTTTAAAAACTTACAGAAACAATAATGGCTGAAAATGGTTAGCTTACAGGTTCTTCTCAGAGCCCAAAGATTTATTCTCATGTTTACATTAATCCGCTACTGAGCCAGATTCATCCAGTCCACACCCTCCCTCCAAAGTTCTTCAACAGCACGATCACTGAACCCTTCCTTTCACGTTTTTCAAACCAAACTTTTTTCACTTGCCTGACTAACGTTTCCCCCGTGCTACATGTTCCGCCCAATATCAGTGACCTGATTAAATTGCCTTCATACCACGTGAAATGGCAACTCCGAGGTATGGAGGGGCGCACGAAACAAAGCAGAGCGTAAATGTTTAATTACGTAGTCATTAATATTAATGGGTGTGGTGGAAAATTAAAACTTCTTATTGTTTTTTCTCAACATTTGTCAGTAGCTTCCTATTCGCCTAACTAATTCCTGGACAGCAGTCAGTTAATCAATATTCAGAAAATAACTTCTTATCATGGAATCCCAAGCTCCATGACTCTCGGTAATGGCTTATCTAATGAAATGTTTATAAAACAAAATTCCGTAGCTGCTGACGTCGTTAAGAAGCTCGGCCAAACGGAAGCCGTGTTGTGCTTAGAGTGCGGAAAAATGGCGCTCCAAGCGTAGCAACTGCTTGCGTCAAGGTTTCTCGTACAAAAAAACAGATTGAATGCAATTATTCTAATTCAAAAAGCAGCATGGAAGCGAGTCTTTAGAGCGAGGCACGCCCGTACTGCACAGCGTGTTCGGTAAGTCCAACGCTTTCCAAACGAAGTTCACACATCCACACACAAAAGCCTCGTTTTAACGCAGACACGAAAAAGAAGAATCATCAGACATTCTAAAAAGAGGCGCGTCACGATTTAGGCTTTCATCGACGCGGTGTCACTGGACACACTGTATAAGATCCGTGTCATTCTTTAACGCTAAAACGAAGGTGAAATCACTAGACACCCTGTATAACAGCCATGTCATGCTTTAACGCGATAATCAAGGCGGCCCATCAATCTCGAAGCAACGGTCCGACGCGACGCGATCCATTTCAGCGGATCGGAATTTCCACCCGAGCCAGCGCCTCTGAACAATGCACACAACGAGAATCGAATCAAGTACCAGAAGCAGGAAGAGTCTTTACCTGTTCCGCTGCCACTGCTGGCGTCCAATTCCCCCGATGGCGGACGGAGGATCCCTGAGGGCGAAGCTCTTCGCGTAGTGACCTAGATGAACCTGCTTAAAGTTGAACGCTGTCCTAGCGTCCTTCCGGTAGCTCGCGTAGAACCGAACCCAGGACACGTAGGCTAGAAAGAGACATACGAACCTTGGAAACATAATTCACTTCTCACAGTGACTGGAAAATCATCACAGGAATAAGGTGTTTTGCTACCTACAGCAATAAGAACTTAGCAGTGTTTCCACAACGGGCTAGATGAACACGCAGTTTTCTTTGCGGTCCGTTCTTTGATTTATTCGAAGTCTTTCGTGTAATAAAATGTTGGGGTCTGTCCACAAGACAAACAGTGTAGGTATATCGTACAGTTTCCCCTCACACCCCACGACACTATCGATAGCAGGGCGTCGATGCAGTTCGCGCGTCGGCCATCATTTGTTTCTGGTAAACGAGGTGTGACTTTTTTTAGGGCGATGTTTGTTGACAGGTCCGGAGTGCAGATTGCTGTCCAGCACGCCCCCCCTTCCCCCCCTCTCTCTCACACACACACATACACATTGGAAATCGAAGCGAGCAGCGCAACGAGGGAGGGGAAACAAACCTCGGAAGGCCGGGGAACTAACAAACCATTTCTTCACACAAATTTTATGAAGACAAAAAACGCCCGCCCTTCTAGATCTGTAGCTCGTTCTAAATCGGGCCGAAATGAAGACAGATTTCCACAGGCGGCCGCTACCTCCTTGTATGCTTGTTCCATCCGAAATTTAATCAACAAATTTCATATTGGTTCGAAGTAGAACGGGGGTTTCTTCCTCATCTGCAACTCTTCACTAGAAACTCAAATAAAACGACGTGAAACGTATCAAGAATGGTTCATCCTACAAAAGTTTCCTGAAAGACGGATGGAGAGAATTGCACAACGGCCAACCAAAAACTAACGCACGGTTTTAAATTAGCTCAAATTACTTTTCCGCCTCGCAGTTTCTTCCGGTCATTTTCTGACCAAATAACCTCAGGATCGCCATTTCATTTCATTTATTCCCACCGACCACCACGTAAACGCGTCACGTCTCTCGACAGATAAATTAGTCCTCGTACATTACATCAAATATTTCATATCCCTCCGCCTCAAAGGGCAGTGAACATCGTAAACAGAAGACATTCACTTCCTAACAGCAACTCGCTATGGCATTCCGGAGCGAGAAGGTCTAAGCACTCCGCGACCTGGTGACATATCTCGGCGACCCGCAAAACACCACAGACTGATAACAACGGATCGGCTGCTGGAAGCAGACGAAATACCTGTCAGGGCGACCCATGTCTTCATTAGTCGGGCGGCGTCTCAAAAGACGAACCTCTCCGCGCAGCAGTGCGGTATGTCCCTCGCTGCCTTTCCTCAGGCACTCCAGTTCAGGTTTTATTCTGCTAGCAACAGCTCACACAATCTTAATTCATCGCCCTGATGACGGAGGCAGTATGACCTCTGAAACGTTGGGTAACATCGACCAGACTACACAGCGGAACAACCCAGAAGACAGAAATCTTCATACTCTGATGACGGAGGCAGTATGACCTCTGAAACGTTGGGTAACATCGACCAGACTACACAGCGGAACAACCCAGAAGACAGAAATCTTCATACTCTGATGACGGAGGCAGTATGACCTCTGAAACGTTGGGTAACATCGACCAGACTACACAGCGGAACAACCCAGAAGACAGAAATCTTCATACTCTGATGACGGAGGCAGTATGACCTCTGAAACGTTGGGTAACATCGACCAGACTACACAGCGGAACAACCCAGAAGACAGAAATCTTCATACTCTGATGACGGAGGCAGTATGACCTCTGAAACGTTGGGTAACATCGACCAGACTACACAGCGGAACAACCCAGAAGACAGAAATCTTCATACTCTGATGACGGAGGCAGTATGACCTCTGAAACGTTGGGTAACATCGACCAGACTACACAGCGCAACAACCCAGAAGACGGAAATCTTCAATCTTAATTCCATCAGGCCTACGTATTTTATTTCCGAAGATTTTAGGAATCGCAATACCAAGAACATAAAGATGTGGCATTGTTATTATTGTTTTTGTTGCACGTGTAGGAGCCTATTATTATTTATTTAGTGTTCTGTCTGACGACAGGTCCATATGAACAGGATCCTTCCATCCTTTTCTCGGACTGGGATCTGTTCATATACGTTCTTGGCAGATGATCCAGAAGTGGTTTGCCATTGCCTTCTTCTGTGTGTGAATGGAGTAATTGTTGGGATGCCACGGAGAAACCGGGGAAGCCCCCGGAGGAAAACTCCGTGTTGCCTAGACCATGGCCTTGCCCAACACAAGTTATAAATTCGGGCACCGCCGGGAATCGAACCCGAGACCCCCAGGATTACAAGGCCAGCGTTCTAACCGCTAGACCACCGTGGCATATGTAGGAGCCTACCAAGCAAACAAAGGCACGCACGCACTTAACTTCACTGCCTTCATTTAGTATTTTGAGTTTCATCAGCGAGATACTCCGCATACCCTGCACTAACCGGCGCGTTTAAAGCCACTTCCTGGGATTTGTTCTCTATCGCATTTGTGTGCGCTGCGAACCTAAACGCGCGGTTTTTCTGTTTAACAAACAACAGCGGTGTCAGGGGTGCCCATCATCACAACGCGGGTCTGAGGTGGCAGCGTCACGAGTATGTGACCTTGGCTCGAGACGAAGAGCATTTCTCGTATTCCCCGTGGCCTTGTTTTGGAACAGAAAACCCGGAAAGGTCATGCCTTTTAATGCCGGGTACAGAAAGTTTCTCAACGAGGAAAACGTGGCTGCACATCCCTGGTGCGTGTAATTGCGGCGGGCAGGTGAATTGCAACCGCATGACTACACAAGGCTGAGGCATAATGAAAAGATGGGCAGTTCAGTTTATCATTGGTTTCCGGTGTGCAGTGGCTGCTTCCGGCACGCAATGCGGTCACGGAATCAACACAAAGAGCGATTCTAATGGCGGCAAACAAACAAACAAAGGAGGTGGATAAAAGGAACCAAAGATGCTTCATTTATGATGAGCCCAACTGTGCCACGGAAACAGAACTGTTTCACGAATTAACAGGGTCGCCAAAGTTAATTTATTCACAAAAGTATTGCAAACTGCAACAACTCGCGACATTCAAGTGTTTTTCTGCTATCGCTGTCCTGTCACCTGCACTCCTGCTTCGCTTTCTGATATTTCCGCTTCGTACTCAACATTTTCGGCTTTCGGTAACGAAACGCGTCTAGTGTCGAGAATTAAACATCGCTTCGGAAAACAATGCACCCTGAAGAAGGATAACGCAATGTTAGCCGAAAAGTTGACCCAGTCTCTAAAGCCAAGGTCGTACACTGAGCTCCGTTCGCAAAAAAACCTTCAGACAAGAATTCCACTTCGTACTGTTCGGGCGTTCATGTCTTCTGGGCTCGAGACCGAGTAGACCAAATGTCGTCAGACAGAACGCGAAACGCTGGGATATAAGATTTAATAATTTGTTCTCACCCTTGCAGGCCAGGTATTAATTTGTTCTCACCCTTGCAGGCCAGGTCATGCAACCGCGTCTGTTCCAATACCGCGGTTTCAAAGCGTGCTTGAAGCCCAGTCGCAGTTGCCTCCACAGACTGAAAAGAACAGAACGATGAAATGCACTGCAAAGCACAGCAACTTATGCGACAAGCACGAAATATGGGACACTTACCGGGCCACTGTGAGCATCTCGCAGTTTCTTCAAACAGACGTCCATCGTCTGTTCTTGCAACCTGTAACAAACACGACATTCAGCAAGAGAGGAAAACATCTCTCCACAGTTGACATTAACTTATTCAGACGTCAAACACGAATGACAAAAAAAATGTGGATGGAAGAGAGACAGAGGACATGGGAAAATGAACTCATTTAATGGGACACAGCGGCTAGCACGTAGAAACCATAAGAAACCTTTCCTTCGGTTCATAAAGAGTAAGGAAAATTGTATGAGTTTCAGCTATTCAAGTAGAATTCTGCTGTACAGGGTTAATTACATTTACGTGGAAAGTCGCTGTTTTCATTAATAAAAACGGGCCACTATGAACATTTGGTGTAGACCTCTCACAATGCAGAGCTTTTTCTTCTGGAACCACCTTCTCAGATATTAAAGAATCAGATCTGTGAAATGTCCTCAGAAGTACACGTCTGTCGCTAACTTCAAAACAAATAATTTGTTCTCAGACTTTGCAAACAGTACGTTATAGCCACTCGGGGTCATCTGATAACAGCAGCAGAACTGGTTTCTGACGAAGACTCTGCTGATCACAATTCGCATTTAATTAGTGCGTTAATTAAAGAAGAAAGCTATCAGCTACAGAAATAATGGTAGTGTAATCCAGAAAAACACGATTTAGAAGATGAGAGAATAATAAAGAACAATGAATACATAGATCGAGGGCGCCTGCATTATCTTATAAGGGCACTCAGTGCTTCGACTTCGACTGGGTTTTGAAATCCTTAATATTTTGAAGCTACTGACTTCACGCTACGCGCACGAAACGAATTTTAATTTTCATTACATGTCCGGCAAGGAAACTGATTTGTTACCTGATACGTCGGTCCTCCAACTGCCGAATGAACGGAACCTCACTCGGCGTCAGAAATAGCAGTGCAGCTCCGGCCGTGCCTACCCTAGCGGTGCGACCCACTCGGTGGACATAATCTTCGACGGTAGAAGGAGCTGTGAACTGCACTATCCAGTCCACATGGGGCAAGTCCAGACCCCTTGCTGCCACGTCCTGTCAACGGGGTGACCACAGGACTGTTATTTCCATTTTTTAAAATCAGATATTTTTTCTTCTATAAGATTCAGTCCAGGGGTTCTCAGCCCGCGGCCCGTGTATGTGCAACCGGAGAACATTTTTCTAATACCCTGCCACTCCATACAATTAAATTAACACTTTGGGCGGGGGCGGGTATGTGAATTTCAAAACAAATGAGACCTGAGAGACCTATCTGAATATTACTTGAGCGAAAGCAGTGTGCAGTGCCCCACTAATGAAAACGATATCGATATGTAAACCTGTTTGCAATATTAGGCATAGTTTATAAGAATTTGAAGAAAAAAAAACTGCCATGGCATCCCAACAAAGTGTCCTGATACATAAATTCGCGGCCCGCGTGTCTATAGGAGCGAACGTGGCCGGGGTCCCGAAAAGATTAAAAACCGTTGGTCCAGACCGTATGAAACTTCAGCAGCAAACCTGAATGCGACTCCTCTTCCACCAAAGGTGAGAAGGTCGAGTGGCCTTCAACACTGAGGACTAACGAGTCATTCTCCTAGCCAAAAGACAGATATATGAACGAACTGATGCAACTTACAGGATTCGAAAAAAGAAAACACGTATTTCATCGTAACTCTTCAACGTATCGTTTCATTCGGAAGCAGCCGTCTCCAAATGCAGATTGATAGTTCAGTTTCCGTCATAACGACTGAGTCTAGATGAAGTTCTGTCCATAAGATTGACATGGGACTTCTGTCAAGGAGGCCTGGGGGAGTTTCTCCGGCTTTTCCCGCCAAATACCGGACTTCCTCTGCACTACCTGCGCGACGCGCTAAGCCGTCTGTGCCCGGAGGCTGGCTGGCTACCCACAGCGACAGAGCGCTGCTACATTTCTGCGGTTTTCCGGTGCCAAAGCCTAGTCCGACGGTGTATCCGCCCAACACAGACAAAGTTCCCTTCTTTACCCATTTCGAAAAATGTCAGAAATTTGTCATGACGGATTGGATATTTAATTAAATGAACACTTAGAATTGAGGTTATACAGTTTCGGATGAAAACGTGATTAATGAGTAACGAATTGCAAAGGCTGTGGGGATAAAAAGTCGTTGCCTACTTTACGGTAGTTTCTACAAATTTTACAGAAGGGACTGAGCAAAACCATGAAAACCGTCAGACAGAATAAGCGGACTTTGGGCAGACATCCGAACCCGGGACTTTCCAAAAACGAAGAAGAAGTTCTAACCACTCTACATCGATTAAACGGCAAAGACTCGAACTTTCTTCTGAATGCTCAGTTTTGTGAGGCGTCGGCTTATCCTTCATGGCGCAATGTCTGGGCACGAATGCACCATTACGAGTGGAAATTTTATACACTACGCGCCGAGCCTCTAAACGACACAAGTACAAGTTTACTCGGTTAGCGTCAAATGCCTAAATCGGAAGATTTAAAGCCCGGTACGTCCACAGCTCGTGTCGTACTGGATCACCAGAAAAATATTCTTCTTCTGTAGCAATGAAGAATCAGTTGCCGTGGCCTGTTTCAAGGAGGAGGGGTTCGCGTGATGGTGGTCCTGCCGCGTGATGTGTGAGGCAGCAGAGAGGTATGGACAGCCAAACCTATCAGCGGGACAGCAAGCACGTGACATGGCAGCCCAGCGTTTAGAATTACAAAACGCACTGAACAGTAGGGAGCACGAATTTGTGGGAACCTCCCTAATAAAATCTCAATTATTTTAGGCACGAATCAGACCCCACCGACTTGATTTATCGCGTTTCACGTAGCGCCGTCGAGTTGCACGCTGTACGCCTACCAGACGATGTTTATGGACGAATAAAACGCCTAGTTCACAATGAGCCGAAGGTTGCGAAATTATGAACGCCACTTAATACAATTAACTTATCACTCTGTGAGATCTACGGCTCTGATGACGGTGAGGACGACGATTATGTACTTCCGGGATGTGACGCCATGTAGACGGGAAGATGGAAACGGCTTATGGCTGTCCGAAGCTTTGGTAACCTGGATGTTTGTTACAAAGTCCTACTTTAGCCACGTCCATACAACTTCACATTTCGTTCTGGTATATCATATTACCGCCACGGTGGTCTAGCGGTCAGAACACTAGCCTTGTAATCCTGGGGTACCAGGTTCAATTCCCGGTAGTGCTCAGATTTATAACTTGTGTTGGGCAAGACCGTGGTCTAGGCAACACGGAGTTTTCCTCCGGGGGCTCCCCGGTTTCTCCGTGGCATCCCAACAATTACTCCATTCACACACAGAAGAAGGCAATGGCAAACCACTTCTGGATCATCTGCCAAGAACGTATATGAACAGGTCCCAATCCGAGAAAAGGATGGAAGGATCCTGTTCATATGGACCTGTCGTCAGACAGAACACTAAAATAAAATTACATTTACGTGGAAAGTCGCTGTTTTCATTAATAAAAACGGGCCACTATGAACATTTGGTGTAGACCTCTCACAATGCAGAGCTTTTTCTTCTGGAACCACCTTCTCAGATATTAAAGAATCAGATCTGTGAAATGTCCTCAGAAGTACACGTCTGTCGCTAACTTCAAAACAAATAATTTGTTCTCAGACTTTGCAAACAGTACGTTATAGCCACTCGGGGTCATCTGATAACAGCAGCAGAACTGGTTTCTGACGAAGACTCTGCTGATCACAATTCGCATTTAATTAGTGCGTTAATTAAAGAAGAAAGCTATCAGCTACAGAAATAATGGTAGTGTAATCCAGAAAAACACGATTTAGAAGATGAGAGAATAATAAAGAACAATGAATACATAGATCGAGGGCGCCTGCATTATCTTATAAGGGCACTCAGTGCTTCGACTTCGACTGGGTTTTGAAATCCTTAATATTTTGAAGCTACTGACTTCACGCTACGCGCACGAAACGAATTTTAATTTTCATTACATGTCCGGCAAGGAAACTGATTTGTTACCTGATACGTCGGTCCTCCAACTGCCGAATGAACGGAACCTCACTCGGCGTCAGAAATAGCAGTGCAGCTCCGGCCGTGCCTACCCTAGCGGTGCGACCCACTCGGTGGACATAATCTTCGACGGTAGAAGGAGCTGTGAACTGCACTATCCAGTCCACATGGGGCAAGTCCAGACCCCTTGCTGCCACGTCCTGTCAACGGGGTGACCACAGGACTGTTATTTCCATTTTTTAAAATCAGATATTTTTTCTTCTATAAGATTCAGTCCAGGGGTTCTCAGCCCGCGGCCCGTGTATGTGCAACCGGAGAACATTTTTCTAATACCCTGCCACTCCATACAATTAAATTAACACTTTGGGCGGGGGGCGGGTATGTGAATTTCAAAACAAATGAGACCTGAGAGACCTATCTGAATATTACTTGAGCGAAAGCAGTGTGCAGTGCCCCACTAATGAAAACGATATCGATATGTAAACCTGTTTGCAATATTAGGCATAGTTTATAAGAATTTGAAGAAAAAAAAACTGCCATGGCATCCCAACAAAGTGTCCTGATACATAAATTCGCGGCCCGCGTGTCTATAGGAGCGAACGTGGCCCGGGTCCCGAAAAGATTGAAAACCGCTGGTCCAGACCGTATGAAACTTCAGCAGCAAACCTGAATGCGACTCCTCTTCCACCAAAGGTGAGAAGGTCGAGTGGCCTTCAACACTGAGGACTAACGAGTCATTCTCCTAGCCAAAAGACAGATATATGAACGAACTGATGCAACTTACAGGATTCGAAAAAAGAAAACACGTATTTCATCGTAACTCTTCAACGTATCGTTTCATTCGGAAGCAGCCGTCTCCAAATGCAGATTGATAGTTCAGTTTCCGTCATAACGACTGAGTCTAGATGAAGTTCTGTCCATAAGATTGACATGGGACTTCTGTCAAGGAGGCCTGGGGGAGTTTCTCCGGCTTTTCCCGCCAAATACCGGACTTCCTCTGCACTACCTGCGCGACGCGCTAAGCCGTCTGTGCCCGGAGGCTGGCTGGCTACCCACAGCGACAGAGCGCTGCTACATTTCTGCGGTTTTCCGGTGCCAAAGCCTAGTCCGACGGTGTATCCGCCCAACACAGACAAAGTTCCCTTCTTTACCCATTTCGAAAAATGTCAGAAATTTGTCATGACGGATTGGATATTTAATTAAATGAACACTTAGAATTGAGGTTATACAGTTTCGGATGAAAACGTGATTAATGAGTAAAGAATTGCAAAGGCTGTGGCGATAAAAAGGTCGTTGCCTACTTTACGGTAGTTTCTACGAATTGCAAAGGCTGTGGGGATAAAAAGTCGTTGCCTACTTTACGGTAGTTTCTACAAATTTTACAGAAGGGACTGAGCAAAACCATGAAAACCGTCAGACAGAATAAGCGGACTTTGGGCAGACATCCGAACCCGGGACTTTCCAAAAACGAAGAAGAAGTTCTAACCACTCTACATCGATTAAACGGCAAAGACTCGAACTTTCTTCTGAATGCTCAGTTTTGTGAGGCGTCGGCTTATCCTTCATGGCGCAATGTCTGGGCACGAATGCACCATTACGAGTGGAAATTTTATACACTACGCGCCGAGCCTCTAAACGACACAAGTACAAGTTTACTCGGTTAGCGTCAAATGCCTAAATCGGAAGATTTAAAGCCCGGTACGTCCACAGCTCGTGTCGTACTGGATCACCAGAAAAATATTCTTCTTCTGTAGCAATGAAGAATCAGTTGCCGTGGCCTGTTTCAAGGAGGAGGGGTTCGCGTGATGGTGGTCCTGCCGCGTGATGTGTGAGGCAGCAGAGAGGTATGGACAGCCAAACCTATCAGCGGGACAGCAAGCACGTGACATGGCAGCCCAGCGTTTAGAATTACAAAACGCACTGAACAGTAGGGAGCACGAATTTGTGGGAACCTCCCTAATAAAATCTCAATTATTTTAGGCACGAATCAGACCCCACCGACTTGATTTATCGCGTTTCACGTAGCGCCGTCGAGTTGCACGCTGTACGCCTACCAGACGATGTTTATGGACGAATAAAACGCCTAGTTCACAATGAGCCGAAGGTTGCGAAATTATGAACGCCACTTAATACAATTAACTTATCACTCTGTGAGATCTACGGCTCTGATGACGGTGAGGACGACGATTATGTACTTCCGGGATGTGACGCCATGTAGACGGGAAGATGGAAACGGCTTATGGCTGTCCGAAGCTTTGGTAACCTGGATGTTTGTTACAAAGTCCTACTTTAGCCACGTCCATACAACTTCACATTTCGTTCTGGTATATCATATTACCGCCACGGTGGTCTAGCGGTCAGAACACTAGCCTTGTAATCCTGGGGTCTCGGGTTCGAATTTATAACTTGTGTTGGGCAAGACCGTGGTCTAGGCAACACGGAGTTTTCCTCCGGGGGCTCCCCGGTTTCTCCGTGGCATCCCAACAATTACTCCATTCACACACAGAAGAAGGCAATGGCATACCACTTCTGGATCATCTGCCAAGAACGTATATGAACAGGTCCCAGTCCGAGAAAAGGATGGAAGGATCTTGTTCATATGGACCTGTCGTCAGACAGAACACTAAATAATAATAAGATGAGGTGGTCTAGCGGTTAGAATGCTGGCCTTGTAATCCTGGGGTCTCGGGTTCGAATTTATAACTTGTGTTGGGCAAGACCGTGGTCTAGGCAACACGGAGTTTTCCTCCGGGGGCTCCCCGGTTTCTCCGTGGCATCCCAACAATTACTCCATTCACACACAGAAGAAGGCAATGGCATACCACTTCTGGATCATCTGCCAAGAACGTATATGAACAGGTCCCAGTCCGAGAAAAGGATGGAAGGATCTTGTTCATATGGACCTGTCGTCAGACAGAACACTAAATAATAATAAGATGAGGTGGTCTAGCGGTTAGAATGCTGGCCTTGTAATCCTGGGGTCTCGGGTTCGAATTTATAACTTGTGTTGGGCAAGACCGTGGTCTAGGCAACACGGAGTTTTCCTCCGGGGGCTCCCCGGTTTCTCCGTGGCATCCCAACAATTACTCCATTCACACACAGAAGAAGGCAATGGCATACCACTTCTGGATCATCTGCCAAGAACGTATATGAACAGGTCCCAGTCCGAGAAAAGGATGGAAGGATCTTGTTCATATGGACCTGTCGTCAGACAGAACACTAAATAATAATAAGATGAGGTGGTCTAGCGGTTAGAATGCTGGCCTTGTAATCCTGGGGTCTCGGGTTCGAATTTATAACTTGTGTTGGGCAAGACCGTGGTCTAGGCAACACGGAGTTTTCCTCCGGGGGCTCCCCGGTTTCTCCGTGGCATCCCAACAATTACTCCATTCACACACAGAAGAAGGCAATGGCATACCACTTCTGGATCATCTGCCAAGAACGTATATGAACAGGTCCCAGTCCGAGAAAAGGATGGAAGGATCTTGTTCATATGGACCTGTCGTCAGACAGAACACTAAATAATAATAAGATGAGGTGGTCTAGCGGTTAGAATGCTGGCCTTGTAATCCTGGGGTCTCGGGTTCGAATTTATAACTTGTGTTGGGCAAGACCGTGGTCTAGGCAACACGGAGTTTTCCTCCGGGGGCTCCCCGGTTTCTCCGTGGCATCCCAACAATTACTCCATTCACACACAGAAGAAGGCAATGGCATACCACTTCTGGATCATCTGCCAAGAACGTATATGAACAGGTCCCAGTCCGAGAAAAGGATGGAAGGATCCTGTCGTCAGACAGAACACTAAATAATAATAAGATGAGGTGGTCTAGCGGTTAGAATGCTGGCCTTGTAATCCTGGGGTCTCGGGTTCGAATTTATAACTTGTGTTGGGCAAGACCGTGGTCTAGGCAACACGGAGTTTTCCTCCGGGGGCTCCCCGGTTTCTCCGTGGCATCCCAACAATTACTCCATTCACACACAGAAGAAGGCAATGGCATACCACTTCTGGATCATCTGCCAAGAACGTATATGAACAGGTCCCAGTCCGAGAAAAGGATGGAAGGATCCTGTCGTCAGACAGAACACTAATAATAATAATAATATCATATTATCCGCCAGTCAGTAAACGGATCGTTAAATTTTTCGTTCACATTTAACAGAGACCATCTCCATTATAAATGTTCGCTAATCGGTCTTCATTCACCGATCTTCTGTCCCCAGTTTCGTCGTTTACATTCAACGTCGAAGTTGTTTATTTAAGAAGATATCGCAATCCGACGCACTTGTATTGACAGGGTTTTATTTAACAGGTTAAATTCTTGCTGGATACAAATATAATTATCATCTATCCTATACAGCTATAAGCTACTACAAGGACGTTTCTTGGTCCTTAACTTTTAATTAAAGAGTCAGATATTTTTATTTCGATCGATTTTATTTATAGCAACGTTAAAAGAAACGGACACGAGGTACAACTCTTCTGCAATTTCCTTGAAAAAATACGAGTTTTAATTTTATTACCCATCTATTTACTGGTTTACACTCTTCTGCAATTTACTTGAAAAAATACGAGTTTTACTTTTATTACCCATCTATTTACTGGTTTAGTGACTTTCTTGTTCTCTTTAATACGCATTTACATGCACGTACGTAAAATCACACAGTCTATTATCAAAATAATACTACAGGATTTTAAATAACATGTAATTAGGCCTACATAAAAATCCAAACCCAACGGAACAGAAATATGTATGATTAATACATAATTGAACGAGTTAAATGAACGGGTCATTACAGCGGATGAATCGGTCTCCGTAAAGACCCGTTTTGCCCATCTCTAGAATCAAAGAAAAAAGAACGCCTGTATTTAATCACGGGTGCAAGGACATCGTCTACCTGAGCAGTGACACTCGTCTAGACTGACTGGCAGGCGCCTGGCGCACGCACCCTGCCCGCTATTTCAATTTAATATCCGTTATTGCGCCAAGCAGCCCCGGTGTTTATAACTCCCCAAAGACTGACTATCCTGGCTGACGTTTTCCTCAGTCCCTCCAACCAAATGATGAGTCATTTACCTTAAAATACACCGAAACAACTTTCTTCCAAATCATTGCCAATTAACCATCCTAAAACTGTCACAAAGAAACCAGGAATCATTATTAAACAACACTTGTGAAGCGCTCTTAAAATACCAAAATGGCGATCGATACGAGGTTTTGTTAACATTTGTCTACACATTCCAGGTTTGGTTAAAATAAGACCTGCCGGCGTTTCTGAGCGAGAACGCAACACTGGGGAATCCCCCCCACCCACGCAAAGGTCATTGACACCAGACAACTGTGACGTGATTGGCGCGGCAAGACTCCGTACGGCTCACACCAATTACAAGCGAACATTCACGAACTGAAAATCTAAAGGTGAAAAGTTCGCACTTCAAGTTGGGTACAGCTGCTCCGACGACTAAACACCACATTACAAATACGTACTGAGGCGTGGAGGTAAAACTCCACGCATCGTATCCTTGGAATTAAGGTGGGAATGGTCAGATCATGGTCAGGTCCCTTTGATGGGAGGCTGTGGCCCTACCCTAGAGAAGAGACCCATTTCGAATGCATCATCTACTGTGATACGCTGTTACGGGCTGCGTGCAACAGACCTGTACTTCAGTTAGTACAGCTGTGCTGTCGAAAGACGGCAACTGAAATTCCAGGCATTTTTCTTGTCTGATTATTGGGTCATTTAACGCGCTCTTTCAAACGTCGATGTTATAAATGTACTGAGATGGGAATATAACGAATAATAATTTCAAGAAACGTGGTCGTTGCCTATTTAAAGAAAAAACCCTTCTCTGGAGAGAATCAAAACCACAAAAATCATCAGCCAGACGGCTGGGATTCAAATTTGCTTCCTCCAGAGTACAAGGCGGGAGTGTTGCCTCCGGACTAACCTGCTAGCTACTCAGCTCCAAAATATAAAATAACACATCTCACTCAAACCTAACCTAACTTAACCTAGCCTAACCAAACGTAAACTAACCGAACCCATACGTCTCAAGTAGCCCCCTCTTTTGGAATGTAATTGCTCTGACCTATGAATGACGTTTATCTATAAGCGGCTTCAAACTAACATGATTATGGTAACTCAGTTTAATAAAGTTAGGTAGATAAATGCCTGATAAAGGCCTATCCTCCATCCATCTTGGTTATTGGCCTAACAATACCAGACAAAGAACAGAAATTTTGTAACTTTCACCAATTCTTTGTATGAAGCAAAGTCTACAGTTCTGAATGTCATACAAATTACAGGAACCGAAATATGTATTCAAACTTACCGTGCAGAGAAGAACACCGGAGTCAGCGGCTCGAAATGTTTTAAACACATCCGTTCGTTCCTAGAACAGACACGCACGCACATTCATGTCAGAGCACATTACTACAAGCACTTTATATGTTTTAATACCTGAGGTTCTTACAGCAGCAAGAATGTAGACGGCCGTCTTCTGGGTTGTAGCGCTGTGTAGTCTGGTAGAAGTATATTGGCCTTTCAGGGATGCTAACTCCATGCTGATGGAGGAGCTACATGGCGCTACAACCCAGAAGACAGCCATCTTCATTTCCAGTGCTGCTCAGTGCATCTTGCATACCTGCTGGGTCATACTGCCATGCAGTTTGAAGAACTCAAAATCCACCTGGTCAGATTCACCCAACACCAGTGCCAGGAGCTCAGTATGGAAGTCCACCATATCTTGTGTTGCGCAAAATATCAGCATCTTGCGCTGACTGCTCATGTTGCATTTCCAAATGATGAAGGCAGACAACGTCACCAATCTTAGTTTGGCGGGCGTCAGAACATAGAACTGCGTCAAGCTCTCTGGGATCACCATGTCATTTGCTAGGGACTCATCGCCCGCAGCATCAACAAACACTGGAGACTTCAGTGTCAAACCTGCAAGCCTCTCCACAGCACTTGACAATGTTGCAGACAGCAGCACTGTCTGACGACTTCCCCTCTGCTGTGAATCAAGCGCCTCGATCAGACTGAAATGAGCATATACAGGGGTCACGACCATCTCCCAAAACACACACACACATGATCACTGCAATGCGGATGCAACGCTGCACACACCTGGCAACATCCTTCTCATAGCCCATGTCAAACAATCTGTCTGCTTCATCCACAACAAGCCAGCCAACTTTATCGAACTGCAGCGATTTTGTATGTTGAACATGGTCCAGCAGACGTCCAGGCGTACCAATCAGCACAGTGATGCCTTTCCTTAAACGAGCTTTCTCTGCCTTGCGCTTCTCCCCACCAACGAGGTATCCAGGAACAATCCACGTGAATGGCTACAAACAAAGTTTACACTCAACTAACCCCATCTCAACATTACAAATAATTCTAATAAGCACTTAATAAAGCAGGGAGAAATAATTAATGACATTAATGTTGAAGATTTCTGTCTTCTGGGTTGTTGCGCTGTGTAGTATGGTCGATGTTTACCAACGTTTCAGAGGTCATACTGCCTCCGATGAATCGCCCTGATGACGGAGGCAGTATGACCTCTGAAACGTTGGTAAACATTGACCATACTACACAGCGCAACAACCCAGAAGACAGAAATCTTCATACTCTACGCTGTGAAAACCTCAAATCTGACATTTATGTTCCTTCAGATGGTAAACAGATATGAAGACAAGTCATAAAGATTGTCTACATGCACTGATTCATCGACACAATTCTGATTATGTACTTACCTTCACCAATTTGACAAACCACTCGTACGTCTGCAGAGCCAGCTCTCTGGTTGGCACCACTACAACAGCCTGAACTCCATCTGCCCTTGATATTTTAGGCCTCACGGCCTGCAGAGCCTCAACAATTGGCAGTGCAAATGCCAACGTCTTGCCACTCCCAGTCTGAGACCTGACCAACGCATCTTTACCAGACAGAATCACAGGCATGGCCTTATGCTGCACGGTCGTAAGCTTCTGCAGGCCCAGGTTCTGATCCAGGTTGGACACCTGCAAAAGAGCAGGCAGGTGCCCTAATGTTCCACAAGAAACCACGTGACGGATATGCAACTCCAGTCAAAAAATAATGCTCTTCAACTGTCTCAACTACCAAACAACTTTCTTAATGATTATGTTAACATAGCAGCAAGACATAAATTCTGCCATGCCATACATTTTTCTGTTGAACACAGGGTTCTCAACCCACACGTGGCCGACATGTCTTCCGTAGTACTGTGTCGCCCTGTATGATGACAGTCACCTGGTATCGGGAAATGTGTTTGCTAATTTAGTCAGAATTTCCAGTAATTAGAACTGAGTAATTGCTGCTTAATGGAGAATTCCAAGTCAAGAACTAGAATAGGCCACCCTTACAAACAATTTGAACGGATGCGTGTGAATCACTATAGGCCAGATAACATAACTCCTGTGCATTCTGTTCAGATTCTAGCCTGCATCACTTACTGTGAAGGGATGTATTGACAGATCTTTGAAACTCTGTGAAGAGAAGACAGGCTCCAAGACTGGTTTCACAACACGGTGGGCAAATGCAGGGATGTCCGGATTGTTGACAAACAACGAGGAAATCCATCCCTGTGGCTTTGAATCAATGTTCTCTTCAGCTGTCTTCTCCCTCACAGATGGTCTCTGTCTCTTTGAAGCAATGGCAGGTTCAACAGGACTTGTGCCATCAAGCTTCCTCTTTAGCTCCTTTGCCTGTGAGTAAACTGCATATTAGGAAGGAGCTAGAAGCACATTATCGCCCTAAGAGTTGCTACGCAAATAAAAGACAAATTTAACAAATGGAAAAACACATAGATCCTTCAAAACTTTCAGCATTCCATTAGAATAAAATGAGGTGATGGAGTAAGTTACTCATTCTTAACCTCAGAATGAGATGACAACAGGTAGCTTCACACTCGGGTTGATTTGCTCCAAGGAATAGTCCCTTGCACCCATTAAATAGGAGAGTTGGTCTGGAAACAACAGTGCCTTCCAGGATGCAAAGACTGGTCATCTACTGCACCACTTTCCTGGCCCAGGTATTATAGTTCGCACTCAGCACAAAACGCAGAACACAAAGTTCATACTATATCCTTACAATAATTAACACAAGCATTATTGCTATTATAAAGACGTCAGGAAGTAAAGTTTACAAACTACATCCATCTAGGTCTGTGCGTGTTATAAGTGATTTATTCTTGCAAGGATTACACAAAGTGAAAAGAAAAAAGAAGGATGATGGTGACTAGGAAACTGTAAAAATAAAAATACTGATCTTACATTTGTCTGTGGACACTAAAAGAAAGCCTCGGGAAAGCAAATGATTTGCCTGAGATTCAAACCAGAAAATTCTAAACACATTATCAATTTCATAGCAACACACAAAAACAATAATAATAATTAAAACAGCAACAGCTGATTAGAAATGGTATAAGTAGGATTAAAAACAAATGCACACCATTTAAAAACTTGTGTGAGAGAATACACACAGGAAAATCACAAGACATAAAGTTATATTTCTGTCAAGAAGGAAATGGTACCTGAAATGTAAAGCTTCAGTATGAACGGCGGTAACAAAAGTAATATGAGGGTGTTGTATACATTTTTACATGCCGATGACACTAACCTTTCCACACACAATAGTTCATTCTTCAACAAAACAGATATTCTGAGATGTGCATAATGCCATTCATTTTAATAAGTTTACATATAATCATAGAGACACAAATCAGCATTCTACAATATGATGAAACCAATAAGAATGCCATAATGAACACAAAAGAACAAATCAGATGTGACTCTGTGCGCAACAATTATAATTCTTCTGAATTATTGTTAATATGTATGATGTCTCAACTATGTAATACATAACCTGATTAATAATAAGAAACATATTTCATCATTTGTTGAGATTATACTCCATTAGATCATCACTGAATGCAATAATAACCAGCAGTTTTCAAATTCCAGTGTTTGTTACAGTGCAGTTTTGTATTACTAAATATTTATCACATGATAGTATTTATTTATTCAAGGTCATATTTGCATCTCTCAGCTGAAAATATTTTATGCACATGTATTATAATTACAAAAGCATCCCACATAAACAAACAAGAAAAACACAAAGATGTAGGAAAACTAAATTCAAGTATTACAAATGAAGGAGAATAAGTGGATACATTTTCTCTTTATGATCAATTGCAAACTTGCACCTGTGCTTCACAGACAAGTTTACATGTGACACATAGTAAGTTAGATCAGTATAATGTTCAGACTCTCAATGCTCTTAAATTGTTGCAAAAGGATCAGATTTTTGAAAGACAGAATAACAGCAAACAAGCAAACTTCTTTTATGCATCTTGAAACTCAAAATGAATGCAGCAATACTAAAAAGTTCCCTTAAAAACAGACAAAGAATAAAATGTAACAATATTTCAGTCAGACACAACAAAACAGAGCATCAAGTAGTTTGATGCAAAATTGTGGCTACATCAAGACTAGCGCCTGCTCCATACTGCAAAAAGTCTGTACATTTACTAGAATTTCCACATCATATGCTACTAATATCTAGGTTAAGTTAAATTTAACTTGTTATTATAATTTCTTCAAACAACATTTGGGAATAAGTAATGCGCTTGAATCCATTTTAAAACTGGACTATTTGGAATAAAAATATTTTTGGCTCAAACTTGGCTTGCATCCTTCACACACAATTTCACCAGAAAGTTGTAAGTACAGAGAATCAAATGCAGAACAAACATTGGGCAGTCAAAGTCCCCTTTCCCTCTATAACTGCATCTGACAAAGAACTGATATGGCATACATATCACTTCTCTGCTCTTAGGCAAGTGAGCTTATTAATTTGAAATAGCCAACACTTACCACACAGTTCTTACTTTCAGGCCTCAGTGAAAGTAAAGTTCAACAGTTTAGGAAGCATAATGTTTTGCAATTCCACATTTTGTGCAAAAACTATATAAAGAGTTAAAGGCATGTTGGTGTCAATACATTATGAATGGCATTACTAAGCCAGTATCATAAAGCAAATCTTCCATATTAGTGACAAAGTATAAGCTAAAACACTTATAGGTATCCACAAGAACCTTCTTAACTGTTTTCGTCACTTCTCAAGAACCCTAATTATTCTACCAGATGATTTGTATTGTGTGTTGATTTTTTTATTTTATTTTTGCAAAGTATGTCATGTCAGCCCATAATTGTTTACTTATTTAAATATTTAATTTGTATTGCAGTTCTAGTAATCATATACAGATATACTAGCTTTACGAACTACGAATTATGTAACTTTTAACCCATTAAACCACGCGAATTACAGTTAGGTTATAATATCATGCGAATGGAATATATTAAACCACCACACTTACCTTACGTGCATCCTCCCGTTTTGGAGGAGAAGCATTAATATTTAAACATATATCAATCGAAGTATCTTCTGCCATTGTCATTTTACAATATAACTATTTTCACAGCACCCAATTCCATACGACTTGCAGAAAACGTGATCTTTTACATACAATGTCGCCAACTGAATCTTCCGTACCTCCAGAGTATGTAACATTTACACTCTTCATACTTTTTACTTTTCGAACTAATCACAGTAATCAACATCAAGAACCAACTCCAAGTGTAAAAATCAACTTGATAATTGAACTCTCTGTTCGAAAGAAAAAATTTCCTTAAGTGCAGTAAGCAATCAGGAATGTTGGCAACGATATAGCAGCACAAAACAAGAGAGGGGACATTTTCGTGATCGATTCTATAATGGCGCCAACTTCAAGTTGGTGCAGGAGTATGCAGGCCCTTAATATATCTTAATTTTGTGTGGGATTTGAGGTTCACACGGTGGTGAAGATCAAGAGAGTTTATTCCTCCGTAACGCTGGTAAATACTTCCAAATCCTTTGGGCTTACAACTCAGAAAACCATTATCGACATATCGAATTGCAGTTTCGATTAATATTAGGCATTCATGAATCTAAAAACGTAATATGGCGGTCGACGCCTATCACTCAGATATTACGTAATTAAATAAAGCGAGTAACTAACACGTAGCCTAGTAAGAAACGATATTGCTGGTGAAATAGTTTTAGTGAGAACAGATCCAAACCTGTCCAAGGCCTGTCCTTATCTAAATCTGTCCAAACATTTCCAAATCTGTCCGAAACCAAACCTAACCCAACCCAACCTAACCAAACCTAACCTACTACGACGAAATGTCTACGCTTTAATGCGTTACGTGTAACAAGATAAGTAACAAGTCACTGTAGAGTGACAGTCAAGACAGCCTGTGTTGAAATGTCAGAATACAAACTTTCATTCATGTCCGTTGAAGGAGAATACAGACGTAAAGAACGCCTATATTATGTGACCTAACTGAAAGTACTTTCCGGTCATGCAGCTGATAAGCGTTCCTATAAGTTTTCAAAATATTTCATCGGAACATTTACAAAGAAGCAGGCACAGACATGACTATTTACCTATAACCGGGTTCAAATCCCTACCGCTGGCACTGTGGTTTATCTGAGTCCTGCCATGGAAAATTCCGTAATATTATCTCACAATAATTCATGGCCTTTCTAATTCACCGTACACAGCCAGAAACCTCCCTTCAAGTCATGGTGTATGACGCTACATAACGTATCAACTGATAATGTACAGCTTCGTAAGTAATTATGATGATGGTCGTAAAAAGGAGAAAGTACTTTCACTGAATAGAGTTTATCTTACTACTATTAGGCTCATATAATTTAATCTGGGTACGGAACCAACAACGGTGAAAGTTTGTGTGCTTCAGTTAGCTTATGTAAGTTATATTTACGTCCATATAATTGATCTTCGTTCTATTCGAATGTCTTTTAAAACTTTCAGTCATTAAACAGGTTATTTAGCGTCGACTCGATGAGCAGAAAGATATATGATATGGTTATTTCTTTTCCAGCAAAGGAGTTTCTGAAAGCCTTGTTTCATTCAACTGTTGTTCATAAAAAGCAGTAAATGTATAATTTGGCTGCACGCGACAGAGACAAGCGACCGAGGCAGGCGACAGAGACGGGAGACGGACACATCGCAGCTTTTGAGGTGACGACCGAGACATGCGGCAAAGTGTTTGTTTTCTTTGTTTTGTTGAGACATACGTGCACATATTCTGTGAAAAATGAGTACAAAAATGCTTCTAAAAAGGTTA